GGGCTGAGTGGGTGGGGCCAGCAGGAGGAGGCTGGTCGGTTCATGGTGAGAGCAGGGCGGGTGGGGGCCCAGGGGCAGGACGCGCCTGCACAGGGCAGATGGGGCAGCCCGGCTCACCGAGCCAGCAACAGGTCGTGCTTGTGGTACTCCAGCGCCCGGGCGAACTCCTTCAGGTAGAAATAGGCGTTGCCCAGCTGGCTGTAGACGGCACTCAGCGTCTTCAGGTCCTCGGTGCCCACCTGCACAGCGGCCTCAAAGAAGGCCACGCCTGCCTTGAAGTCGCCAGCCTTGCACAGCCGCTCACCCTCCAGGGCCAGCTCCAGGCACGAGGCTTCCATCCTGGGCGGAGAGGAGGGGTCAGGGGTCTCAGCCTGCCCCTCACGCCCCTGCACGTCACCACTCGGACAGCGGGGCCCCTTGGACGGCTGTGGCCAGTGTGGTGCCCGGGGGCGTGGGCGTCAACCTCTCTTTGGATATGAACGCCCAGGTCGGCACACGGTGCGGCTCACCTGTGCCACAGCCTCATGGCTCCCCTTCCGGCGGCTGGCAAAAGCACGAATCTGCAACTGTGGCCAGACCCTCGCCCAGAGGCGGCCTGCAAACACTATCTCCCTCCCCCAGTCCCAGCTGCTGGCGCGAGGGGCCGCCCCTGGGCCAGGCGCTACCTGCCACAGTGGCTACGGTGGCCTGGGGCTGGCCCTGATCCCCTCTGAGGATGACGGAGGCTCACAGGGTCAGCCAGATAGATGGTCAGGGCCACACAGGCAGGATCCGATCCCAGCCCCTCCCGGGTCCTGCATCCTGGAGCAGGGCCCCCACCCTCCAAGCTCTCAGGGGGGAGGGAGGGGCTGGGGACTCGGCCATCACCTGTCCTCACCTCCCATTTTCTGGTGGGGCGTGGCTGCATCTGAGTCGATGTCCTGCGCTGGGGCCCGAGGGGGGCTGGGGACGCAGGTGCAGAAAAACCCAGGGAGAGGGCCCCCACCGAGGCAAGCGGCCCCTGCCAACCCGCACCCCACTGAGACCGCACAGCAGGAGCAGAGCACCCCCTGGAAAGGCGGGAGCCGGCTCCGGGCTGCCACAGGCCGCCCCGTTATCCTCCTCTTACTCCCATTGCTTTCGGATGTCATCAGAGCTCGTGGAAAACCTACAGAGAGTAATTTATAATAAAACGTGCGCGCCAGCCAGCCAGCTGCACCCCAACGCACCCGACCTGCTTCATTGTTAGAAGTGTGCAATGATCAGGAGTTACTGGAGCGGGGAACCAACACGTTTCCTTAAAAAATAAAGTTGTTTAGGGCAGTGCTTCTCAACCGTTTCTTTTCTTTTTTAAAAAATAAATTTATGTATTTATTTATTTTTGGCTGCATTGGGTCTTCGTTGCTGCGTGCAGGCTTTCTCAAGTTGCGGCACGCAGGCTTCTCATTGCGGTGGCTTCTCTTGCTGCGGAGCATGGGCTCTAGGCGTGCAGGCTCAGTAGTTGTGGCTCACGGGCTTAGTTGCTCCGCGGCACGGGGGATCTTCCCGGACCAGGGCTCGAACCTGTGTCCCCTGCATCGGCAGGTGGATTCATAACCACTGCGCCACCAGGGAAGTCCCTCAACCATTTTATCCAAACTGCCCCTTTGATAGAAACCACAACGCCCCATTCACTCTGCTCCTGCGTCATCAAGACAACAGGGCACTTCTATTTACAATGCGAGCTACACCTCAAGAACAGGCTGGGGTGAGGCTGGTGAGCCCCTGGAGAAGCTGAGCCCCGCGCCCCACAGGCTCAGCGCCTTCTGTCGGCACCTTCACACGCCCCTTGTCCAGTCACGACTCCCCAGCATCGGGGCCACTCCCCCTGGGGAAGAGGGCTCCTCCCGCACTGGAGGATGCAGGGCCCGCACCAGAGGACCCCGCCATCTCCCCCACCCCCAGATTCAAGCAGAGCCCTGTGGCCTCTCAGAGAGCCGGGGTCAGGGACATGGCCTCGAGACCAGGATGCCAGACCCTTTCACCTCCCGCCCACTCCTCAGCAGCCACCTTGCCAAGAGCTCTGGGAAGGGCCCTCCGGATGCCCCGTCGCAGGAGCCCACGGGCAGCCCCATCCACCAGGGCCACGCACGGGGCTCCTTAATTAAGGCCTGCGTGTCCCTGCCCAGCTGCTCGCTACACGGCTAGCTGCCCTCTCCTCCCGGGGACTCGGTCTGAAACGCAGGTGTTTTCGGAGCCCCACTGGCCCTGGCAGATCTGATCACAGGCGTGGCCTCCCCCCGCCCACCTCCCTGCCCAGAGATGTGGCATCAGCGGCTCAGAGCAGAGGAGGTTTCTGGCTTGGGAAGGGCCCTGGGCCTAGAAGTCATGGGGGCAGGGGCGCAATGTTGGGGTGTCTGGCGCAGTCTCCTGGGACTGCAGACTGGGAAAGCTAACCAGGCCTGCCCGTGGGAGGCCACCTGGGGAGGCACCAAGCGGGGTGTCCCAGGTCAAAAGCCCCACCCCCTCCCTTGCCCCAAGAACCTGCAGCCGCGCAGTGACCTCCAGCTTAGCGCCCACCCGCCGCCGCACCGCTTCCCCTGCAGGCTGTGCATCTTCTGTACGTATAGCCACGGCTCCAGGCCCACGGGCAGCAGCAGCGGGCGGGGGTGGGGGGCGCCATACACCACTTTGCACACGGCCTTCTCAGCCAAGCTCAGGGCTGCAGGCGGGCCCTCCGTGGCGGCAGCCGGCATGGCGGGGCTCCGGGCCTCCCTCCTGGCCAGCCAGCCCTCGCCCCACCTCGGCTGCTGGTCCTGGGGGTGCGCTGGCCTCAGGGTCCCCCGCATCCCCCACCCCAGAGCGGTGGGCTGAGGCTCTGGCGGCCTCGGCTCCAGGAGGCCCCCGGCCCTCTGGCAGCTGGTCCGGGGCCTCCCAGGGCCTGCGGCGGATCAGGGGATCAAGGGCGGCTCAGAGCCGGGGATCAGCACCGTCAGCAGGGCGGGCCGGCGGGCGCCCAGGGGAGACTGTCCACACGCTCCCCTCGGGGGCAGGCGCACAGCAGAGGGGCAGCGGCCGCGCCCCCGTCCCGCTCACCCAGACTCTCGCCCCACTCCGGCCCTGTGGCCGGTTCGGGGCCAGAACCCCGTCACGCAGCACAAAGGCGCACCAGGCACCTAGTTGGCACCGGGTCAACGTTTGTGAGAGAAGGAAAGTAGGAGGGACATGGCGAGCGTGGCCCCCACCTGGGGAGCTGGGACTCGGCAGGGTCTGCACTTGACTCCGCCCCATCCTCCTGGCGGCCTGTCCCCCAACACCCAGCCTGGCCCATGGCAGCACATGGTGCCCAGCGCCCGGCACACGGCAGGGTCAACAGGTGGGCACAGAGTCCAGTCACCCTGTTAGTCCCCCGGCCCTCTGGGGCACTGCTGGGGTTACCAGCACCTGACCGTCGAGGAGCCCCAGGCCCCAGGTCTAACCCAGGTGCGGGCCTAGAGGGGCCTGGGGCCAGCCGTCTTGGGAGGAATAGACACTCCCCCCACCCCCAGTTCCTTTCCTGAAACCACCAGCCCCCTGGCCACCTTCTCAGCCCGGCTCCCAGCTCCTCCAGCCACCACAGCTGATGAGGCGCGAGTGACCATCTCTGGGCAAAGGGAGAAGCCTCTGGAGTAGTGGGGGTTGGTGCCAACTTCCAGCTAGGGGGAGGGGGCCATGGGGCTCGGTCAGGGCAGAGCCGTGGGGAGAAGCCCAAGGCCCCTCCCCGCCCAGCAGCCCACCCCACGGTGCTGCTGCACCCCAGGAGCCCCTAGGTTCCCACGGGGCTCACAGAGGCTCTCTCTGCCCGACTCGTAGGCGGCCCCTCCTGCCAGGCCACTTGCCCGTCTCAGCAATGGGCCTTGGGTGGGAGGGGGCTCAGCTAGACCGAGCAGCTGGGAACCCTGGGACAGGAAGGGAAATGCAGCTCTGGGGTCAGAGGGAACTGCAGACCCAGGGTGGGCCCAGCTCTCCAAGACCATCCTGGGGCCTGAGCAGAGGCGGGAACCCGAGGACAAGTAGGAGGGTGTGGCGGTCCAGGGCAAAGGCCGCCCAGGATACAGGACCCGGGGGTCAGCATCGGCCCAGGAGGCCCAGCAGGCGTTGCCACTCTGCGGGGTCTGGGAGGGCCGAGACCTGGAAGGGGCTGGGCGGGTGGATGCAGAGGTGGGAGAATGAGGCCCCAGGCTGCCCACCTGCCCACACCAGGCCCTGGTTCCCAGGGTGTCCAGGCCAGGGTGTTCCCCTCCGTGCCCGGAGGCCTCTGTCCACCTCCGGGGAAGCTCAGCTGAGGCGGGCAGGGCAGGACCTGGACCATCTGCCCCTTGCGCAGCTCTTGTCAACAGCTGAGCCCTCAAACTCTGCACAGTCACCTCGACCCCATGCCCCTCCCCCACCCCCCGGGGCGGCTCCCCAGCGCCTGCACCGCAGGCCACCCTCGCCACTCCTCCTTGAGACCTGCGCACGCTGGCCAGGCTCACTCCCTCGCTCGGTGACGAAGGTTCTGCAGCCTGTCTCTCCACACTGCCTCTGCAGGCCTGTGGGGATCTGTGGGTGCTCGTGCCCCCCGGGGATGCACTGGGGCTGCAGCAACCCTAGGTCACCCGCTTCAGCATCGGTCTGCCGAGCTGGCCTTCCCGCCCACTGCCCACGCCCCCATGCCGCAGGACTGAAGGGGCCTCCAACAGGCCTGTCCACCCAAGGGCCTGACAAGGGCCCTATTGTCAGGGCACGAGACGGGGCTCCCTGGGGCTCTGGGCCAGACTGGCCAGGGCTCTCAGGGCCCAGGGGCTGTGGTCTTAGCTCCCCCTTCACCAGCCTCACCACTCAAACTCTGGGAGAGGGGGCAGCCTTCCACCTGGGATTTGCCACCTGGGATAAATAGATGCTTAATGTTTTTAAATTTGATTAATTTTTCCTTTTTGGCTGTGTTGGGTCTTCATTGCTGCACATGGGCTTTCTCTGGTTGCAGAGAGCAGGAGCTACACTACTTGCGGTGAGCGTGCTTCTCACTGCAGTGGCTTCTCCTGTTGTGGAGCACGGGCTCTAGGCGCACGGGATTCAGCAGTGTGGCTCGCGGGCTCTAGAGCACAGGCTCCGTAGTTGTGGCGCACAGGCTTAGTTGCTCCGCGGCACTGGGATCTTCCCGGACCAGAGCTCGAACCCGTGTCCCCTGCACTGGCAGGCGGATTCTCAACCACTGCGCCACCAGGGAAGTCCGATGCTTAATTGTTAATCTACAGTCCTCCACGTCCTGGGGAGAGACCCGGCCCACCGCCTCAGGGGCCTCAGGGCTCAGCCTGCCTGCCCCAGCCAGGCCTCGTCCACCTGTGAGATCTGCTATCCAACACCACGATGGCCCAGCACATCTCTCCTTGAAAGTGGCTGACCAGGGTCAGCCTTCCCAGAAGCCAGACCGCAGCGGCCAGGAGGCAGGGTAGTGTCTGCCAAGCTCCCGCCACCTGCCCCCTGGCTTACCAGTTAATGAAGTGATTACTGACTGCCCAGTGGCCGGCCTTACTGCTCTGGTCACCACGTCAGCCCCATACCCCTCCCACCTGTCTGCGGCACCTGAGACAGCATCCCGGGAGTAGCCATCAGCCCGGCCCCGCCTGGCCCCTACTGCCCTGCTCTCTGCCCCCACGGGCTGTCCATTAGCACTCCTGCCCCACCTGCCTGTCTCCCCGGATGGCACGCCGTCCTCTGGTGCCCACCAGACCACCGAGGCTGGTCTCCAAGCCTGGCCCCCGGCTCCCACCCCCAAGGCTCACTGGCCAGGGGCTGCGTCCCCATCAGCCCCACTCTCTGCTAAATGTCAGCGTCCCTGTCCAGCGCTGTCACCCACACTGGGCCTCTGGGCAGACACTCCAAGGTGCCTGCTCACACCCTGTCCTGCCGTCCCCAGAGTGAAGCCACACTGACTCCTCTTCAGTCTGGGTGGGGGATCTAGGAGCATCATGGGACAGGCAGCCTGGGAGAAGCAGGAATCCCTGGAGAGAAGGAGCACGACCACCACCCGGCTTTACAGAGTGCCGAGGGGCGCACTTCTCGGGAGCCCTGGGGTAGGGCCGACTGTCCCGGGGCGTGGGACCCCCGTCCAGGCGCCTGCTGATGGGGCGCACCTCTAAAGAGAGCCACCCCACAGTGGTGTGCTCGGTGCCCCAGCTCTGCCCTCCCAGCCCCAGCAGGAGCGCTCAGCTGCCGGAGGGAGCCAGAGGGCCGGGAGGGGGCGGCCTGTGGCTTCCCCACTTTCGGGGGCTTCTCGGCCACCTGCCCATCCCCCCCCCCCCGGCCCCCC